CTGGATGGCTAAACTCCCTCGGCATGTTATCTCTCTATTTGGCCAATTTCTACAATTTCCAGCCGCGCCCTCAAGCCTGGTAGAGGCTAATCTTCTAGCGTCATAACGAGGCTTCACCACTTTTTTTTATTCCAACATGTAATCACCAGACGTGGTGACGGCACACTCAAGTTTTTCAACTGCCGCCACCAACGAGTAGGGGGGGGGGGGGTAATGCAATGCTCATTTTCACCTGAGCGTAGTGAGGAAAGCCGTGTAAAGTGCCTTTCCTAAGGGCACAAGGCCGGTGGCATGTCATGACTCGAATCCGGGACCTCTTGGTTCCGAGTCGAGCACTCTGTCGCTACGCAACACGACCCCACTTTACCACTTTTTCATGAAACGTTTTTCCTTCTATATTCCAGATCCAGTGCGCGGTGAAGACGTTGACTAAGGAAAAGTTCGAGACTGCGCAGAGCGAGTTCTTCAAGGAGGCCACGATCATGTGCAGTATGGAACACGACAACATCGTGCGACTGTACGGCATCGTGTTGGACTTGTGTCTAGGATCGCTCATGATGGTAGGAACGTTCACTAGTCATAGATCTGTGTGACGAACTCAACTTTTTATAATTACTTTTACTCCATGTATGTTCAAAGCTGCATTATGTAGCATTAGGACGATACAAAAAGTAAATGTTCTGCTCATTTCTTTATAACGCTACTTGAATCAACCCTACTCTATTGCAAATAATTGCCAGCAAGGAGCTTCAATTAGAGGTAGAGATGCTAAAATATGATGTTTAACGAGTGTGTTTAAAAGCTTGAGTTTTAGTGCTAACCATAAATGTCAGAAATGTGAGATAATTGCTCAAATATGTCGAAATGTAAAAGTAATTTGCAGTAACACAAATATTTCTTCAAATTAGATATTTCAATTTTTTGGTGCAAAAATATTACATAATACCCCTTTAAAGTAAAATTAATAGTTGGTTGTTCGGGGAAACCAAACATTTGAGAGATTGTAGACAGAGTTCAAGTTTATACTTTCAAGATACAGGGTCATTAGTTGGTTTTGTTAGAAAAAGGTGCGGTCTCTAAGAATGTATATATTATTCAATTCTTAGATACAAACGGTTTGTGATCCATTTCAGAAGCTGGGTGGGGATTTTTTCCAAGATTGTTTATGTCTGGTTTCGCCTGCCAGCACACCGAGTATATCTGCTTCTGATAACGATTCTAGAGACCACAGATCAGTACGCTTGCCTTTTTAGTACGTTCTCCTTTAACGATTAAAGGAAAGAAACCAACTGAGAATGTTCTGTTACTTGTAATCAGGTGTCAGAGTTGGCCCCTCTGCGCTCTCTGTCTGACTGTTTGCGGGATTGGAACCAGAGACCGCTGTTCCCCGTGTCCGTTCTGTGTGATCTGGCCATCCAAATCTCCAGTGGGATGCAGTATCTGGACACGAAAGGGCTGGTTCACAGAGACCTGGCCGCTAGAAATATCCTCGTCTTTTCCCCGAATTTGGTAAGTACAAACTCGTATTTTCCTTTTTTTGTTTATTATTTTATTATTTATTATAAGATATGTAAGAGCATGTCAAGAAGCAGGACACGTTTAAACACTTGATGTCATGCAAGAACGAATGTACAGTAGACAAACTATGTAATTATGTTTCCAAATGTTTAAAAAAGACAGAAGAAAGGGCAACTAACAGTAGATGATAGGTAGTATATAGTATTGTTATAATGTATAGATTCCTAGCACTTTGCATTAGAATATAGCGTCCCAGTATGAAATACTCATGTTTTGCATACTGCATATATTATACTCTTGTGCATTTAGTCCATCTAGGCAAGAACATGCAATAAAGACTCATATGATTATTTATCACCTAAACCACATGTGCGTAATATTTTTCAGAAACACCACCATGGTGTTTTGCAAAGTTTATTAAAGAATCAGTTTGAATATCTTGAGTGTTGTCTAGGGTAAAGGTAGGTAAAGGTAGTCCTGTAGCTTTGTTGAGGCCATAGGGGCATTTTATCCACTGTGTCTAGGACACGGTTAGGAGGCAGGAGCCCATACCTCTCCTTCCACTGCCTTTTACCTCCCCAACCAAAGTCAGGTACCCATTTTACACCTGGGTGGAGTAAGGAAAGGTATGCAAAGTCCTTATTGCTACTCTCCAAGCAGAGGTTTTATGGTGGAAGATCGTTTGCTTTTTATTATGTTCCGTTTTTACCTATTGCAAGGGCATAAGATCAATGACATTACAGGATTCGAACCGAGGACCTCTGGGTTCTGGGCCAAACCCCCTGCCGCTGTACCACACGACGTCAACAATGGGTGTTGTTCTATGTTATAGAAATGAGAGAAATATCCTCTGAAATTGTATATTTGATAAGATTACCAGGTTTCGAAATTTGGAAAGCACAGAAAAGAAGCGAGAAGAAGTTGAAATTGTACAAATCGTTAGGTAGTAGTACACATATATAGTACTGTAAATTTTGTATCATGAGATATTTTTGTGCTTTATACATGGCCTGTACGAGTACTTGGCTTGTAATAGAATAAATGTACAATAAATTAAAGGTCCTTCATTCATGAATGTTTAATTACCGTCCTCAGGTGAAGGTGAGTGACTTCGGCCTGACCAGAGCGCTGGGTGTGGGGAGGACATACTTCAAGACGGCTACAACAGACAGGAAACTCCCGTTCGCCTGGTGAGTAACAAACCTGGAGCCGCATATAGTTTCTGTTTAGAACTTTTATTCAGCTTGTCACACGACCGGTTTCGCCTGTGTGGCTTCTTCAAGTGTACAGAGGCTAAATGACACAAGTGCATGAAGTTCTCACTTATATACCTTTCCATTGCATAGTGCCCTCAGGTCAGTTACATGACGTTCAGATCGCCCTGACCTGTTACATAGTTCGTTCTCTGGTGGAGTGATACAGATTATACAGTCGTACATACAGTATTAACTTTCACATCTAGAACTAAAACACCAATAGTATTACTGTATTTTTTACACTAAGTGTGGCATATATATTAAGTCGGCGTAACACACCAGCTACATTGTACATATGATGGTTGCCAAAACTTCGCTAGATATCTCTGTGAAATGTATCATCAAGGTAAACAATACTCGTCGACAATTCCAACTCTACTACCGGATAAATTTTGAAGAATACTTCCGGCGCTCCAGTAGTAGAATTTGAATTGTATATGAGTTAGCTCAATGTCCTTGGTTAGCTAGATCTACATCCATGACAGACTACATTTGGAACATATCGAAGCTTATAATAATTGAGACGTGTGATAGCTAATCGTGCGTATTGCATTATATAACATGAAAATTAATATTGTTCCATATTGCACACACTTGTGTGTTAAATATCAGAGGCTGCGGTAGAAAGTTTTGAATGGACGGCGGCGAGATTTTGATTGATCCTAGGGCATGCTACCCGTAGAAATTTAAATCCTAACGCCATTTGCTACATTTTAACTTAAACTTTAACGGTCATTTCTTGTCGTCTTGACTAAGGTGTGCGCCAGAAGCGATTAACGAGTTCGTCTTCACGTCCGCCACGGACGTCTGGAGCTTCGCCGTCACGATGTGGGAGATGTTCAGTTACGGGGAGCAGCCGTGGGCCACCTACAGCGGGGAACAGGTGCGTCAAACCCCGGTCACACACTCACGAACCCGGCCTCCCGAACGCTAGCCGAACGTCCGCCAGCCACGGTTACTGGTGGGTCGGCGTAAAGTCGGAAGGGTCGGCTGGGGTTCGGAATGTTTCAAAATGTTAAAAACATTCGTCAGTCGCTCGGAAGGTTCGATCATGATTGACTGATTTTCGACCGTAAGTCAGCAAAACACCTGCCAACCATCGGGGAGTAAGTCAGCAATGTTTGGGGCGTGTTTAGGGATAAAATTTGACTCAATTTAACTGTAATTCGTTTCGATTCGTACAGATTGGTAGGCGTGACCTAAATCCGACCCGCTTCCGAACGTAGGTCGAACCTGGTCGGCTGGTGGTGGGGAACAGATTCGGGGGAAGGTCGTGAATGTGTGGCTTCGTCGAGCTCAAGCTCACTCCCAATGAGTCCCAACAAGCCTGGCCTCCAGTCTATCTAGGTTGAGGGGGACTCTCTTTGGAGCAATAGTAGTTTTTTTTCCCGCCCAGCTCAAATGGCCGCCCGCTTCCGTTGTGCAAAATCTACCGGGAAACCTAGTTGAGTCGGGCGGCAAAAAACTCCTGCAGCCCCGAAAAGAACCCGCTTCAACCACGATAGACGGGACACCAGCACTAGTAGTAATAGGCTAGCTCCTGACTGGTAGAAGACAGATGACACAGTTAAGTTTAGACAGCAGGAACATATTGTAAGATACGTACACTGAAACAAAAAGTCGTAAAAGACGTTTGTTGCACAGGTCAGTCACAAGGAGAAAATGGAGGACAAGTCTAATAATGACGTAATTCGTACCTCCTGTTCTACCATATTTTTCCACTTGCAGATTCGCCAGGCTATTGGCCCCCCTATGTACCACCGGCTGGAGAGACCGCGGTTCTGCCCGTTCAGTCATTACCGCATCATGCATGAATGTTGGAGCCACAAACCCAAAGAACGCCCAACCTTCACCAAGCTGTGTCACGTGCTGGAAGAGGTGCGTGCTGATTGGTCAAGCGGTATAGTTACGTCGAGTACAGTACACGTTGTTTGCTGACAATAAAGAGGGCTCGAAATAATTTTTCTGTATACCTGTATTGAACATTGAAAATTACCTGTATCCACGCATATGTTAAGAAGTATTAATCATACTAAAAACTTATCATTTAATTTATTTTCTTCATACTTCATATATATATTAATCAGGTGGTATCAGTCAATGCATGTACTGTATATATAAACCCACTATAACAACGGGTGCAAGTTAAGTGCATATAGACATCAGAAATTCCTGCAGAGCCCCAATTTTACCTGCATTAAGGTGCATATATATGCAGCCAGTATTTCGAACCCTGACATTTCTGTATCAAATTCAAAATGATTGTCCCTCAGATCCCTTTGATGCTCAAAATGTAGTTGAAATTGCCTATTTTTGACGATAATGAGCCAGATGCCAAATATTGAATATACCTACAGCATATGTAAATACCCTAAGGTAGGTACACCAAGTGACAAATACAGACTGTGATGTCCATAATTTATTTTCCAGGCGAAACCGGAGCAGAGAGTAGCCATTGCTGACGTCGACGGTGACGTAGTACATGACCTCATGACCTTGAAGGCTGGTGACGTCATCACAGTGCTGGAGAAACCAAGGTGAATTCTATATGCCGGTTTCTATTTGTTAAACTGTACTACTAACAGGTGTGTAGATGTGAAATTTATGTGAATATGACGAAAAAACTAATAATGTGATATAATGTGACTACAAAGAAAATAAAAGCGTTAGCGTCAAATTTGTTGAAGAACTGAAATCATGTGCACAATCTGTAATTGCGGAATGGTCTAAATACTCTAAAACTTTAGCGAAGTGATTTTTATTGACGGAAACAAGGTCAGACAGAGTGCAGAGATAATAGGATATTTTATAGTGTTCTTACACATTTTGAATGCTAGTGAGCTAACAGGGCAGGCGCACATATATGCTATTTAAAATGCTGCATTTAGTGTCCAAAGTGTCTGTCCATTTTACTATTCACATTTTTAGCCAAATCCTTTCTTTCACATATTTTTATGTTTAGTCACATCGTTTTATATTACTTCAAGGTTGATTCGCCAAATTCACGTAAAAGTCACGTATTATAATCTTGATAGTGTGCGAACACTAGCTTCAGTCTCCCCCAGACTCCTTTGGCTGTTAGAATAAATACTAGAAATCGGCTTAAAAGAAAATGTAACTAGTCAGAGGATTTAGCCGGCCATAGAGGTTCTGATTTGACTCTATTTATTTAGCCTGCAAAATGGTTTGGTGGAGACTACACTAGCTTCCAGTGTTTTATTTTACAATATAGATATAAGTATCCAAGAAAGTATGTCTGAACGTTTGTGAATTGTCCCCTTCCCTCCCTGCAGTGACAGCCATGGGTGGTTAGGCGCGTTAGATGAGGACAAAATCGGCTTCTTTGACCCTGAGATGACGGAACCCTTCCAAACGGAGGCCGAGAAGCAAGAAATGGCAGCCGCGGCGATGGACAAGAAGAGGAAACTGAAGAAGAGTACGGTTTCACTATACCTTTGAATTCATTTTGACAATTTAGAAGGTTTTACAGTAAAATACCACCGTATATCTTGCATCTCTCACCTTACATTGTTGCGTACAGTTATCTACTTATGCTAGCCAGGGAGTCTAAAGGAATTTATTTGAACTACAATTTGAATTTGGATTTTGGTAGAAAATATTAATATCTTCATTTTTGGCAACGTTACAGCACCCCAACCATCAACAGTGCAGAAAGAAGGGAACCATTACGAAACGTGAGCAGTTTCCTTCCGTTTCCTTTGTCTCTCTCTTTGTCTTTTGACTCTCTCTCTCTCTCCCTCTGTCTTTGATTTTCTCTCTATGTGCCTAAAACGTTGGCAAGAATCAAATGTCGACGTGTTTTTATTGTTTTAAAATATGTATCTCTTAAAAAATGCAACGGCACGTATGATCTTTTTATCAATGCTGATGAATTAATATTATTGGTACCATAAGAAAATCTAAGTCTATTTTTACCACTAAAAATCTAAGTCTATTTTACCACCAAAAATCTAAGTCTATTTTACCCCCTGAAAGCTTAGTCTATTTTGCCACCAAAAATCTAAGTCTATTTTACCACCTGATTTCTTAGTCTATTTTGCCACCAAAAATCTAAGTCTATTTTACCACCTGAAATCTAAGTCTATTTTGCCACCCAAAATCTAAGTCTATTTTTACCACCAAAAATCTAAGTCTTTTGCTTCCTAAAATCTAACTCTATTTTACCACCTAAAATCTAAGTCTATTTTTACCACCAAAAATCTAAGTCTATTTTTACCACCAAAAATCTAAATCTATTTTACCACCTGAAATCTAAGTCTATTTTACCACCAAAAATCTGTCTATTTTACCACCTGATATCTAAGTCTATTTTACCACGTAAAATCTAACTCTATTTTTACCACCAAAAATCTAAGTCTATTTTACCACCTAAAATCTAACTCTATTTTCACAACAGTCGCCCATCCTCTAAGCATGACGGCTTCAATGCGCTGTCCAAGTTCTACATGAGCATGCGCGGGAAGCGGCGGCCGGGTGACGGGCAGTCCGACTCGGGAGGGGGCGCTTCTTCCTCTGCAGAGAGAGACCAGTACTGGTAGGTGGCGCTTTTTTCTGTGTGGAGTAACAGGTACAAATAACTTCTGCATGACTTAGTGGAATGTAAATTTCTGATCTATCATAAATGATAAACTGCAATGATTCTAAGGACTTCTCCCTTTTAAGACTGCTTTTAACGGGTATTTCTCATTTCGTTTTCGCACTCAACAAATCTTAAACTTACTAATATATATATATTTACACATCTATTTTTTGCCAAGAAGCTGAGACTGCTGCGAAAGGTAACGCTTCACAATGTAAACTTATACTAATAAAATATACATTTTTATTTCAGTTCGCTCCAGGAAGATGCACTTCCAGAGAAGCCCTGTAAGAACCTTTTTTTATTCGTCTGTTTCTTTATAATTGTTTTCCATAAATTATGTTGTCTAATTGCCAATGGTAAACCACGCTTCTACATGTACAGGAATCCATTAGTTGCAGTCGTTCAAAAAGATATATTCAATAAATGAACACTAAGAAGTAGTCTAGTTGACTGACCCAGTTTGGCTTCTTAAAAGTGTGACTTCAACACTGGGTCAAAGGTATCTGGTAGACGATGTCGGCCCCCGTCGCGGTTAAGTGAAGGGTGATGGGCCCTGATATAAAAAGAAAAACTCTTCCACCCCTCTCAAGAAATAGTCAGAAAATAGAAATTTTCTGTGCTCAATGTTCTTACAGTGTCCAGTGTAGGCAATACGTGTCACTTGTCTAGCAATTACTTCCTACTAAAAGTGTTACCTCTCTACTTGGGACTTCCATATCAGCGGATACGCCAGAAGAAGAGGTTCCAGCGCCCGCAGATAGCGGTGAGCTGAAGACATCAGCGGTGAAGTTTGAGCTCCCGGCGGCGCAGACAGAGTGTGTCGGTGCGGCGGGCGGGGAGACGGACAGGAGACATTATCAGAACCTGAACGGAACCGACATTCCCGAAGAACCGGTACGTCTGAACATTCAGAATTCGACAACTTATTTTCCTAAACAATGTGTCTTATCTTTATGTATATAATGCTTAGAATTGATTTAAATTCATCGAATTATCAATCGCATTTTTTAAAATCCTTTTACTAAACGCCAATTCGCTGTGTCTTATCATTGAAATGGAATGCCTATTTATTATGTTTCTCTTCGCAAAAGGAAAACAGGCTGCTTTTGTTTCCTCTTCTTCTCCAAACAAATACCTGGACCAGACGTCTCTCTCCATGGTAACTGGTGCTGTAGCAGACACCCTGCTGTTTTTGGTTACTTTACGTGGCAAAAGTTGGAGAGGCTGGTCACCATATATTTAAATGTGTTTAAGTATAAGCATAGCAGTAGCTTGTTAGACTAGACCATATGAAAGTGAACATTGTGTATTTGCCTTGCAAATGTTACCTTTCAAAATGTTTCGATATTTTTGCAGGACCCGGATGTAGAGCACGCCCCCCTCCCCTTCTCGCCCAGACCTGACTATGACGTACCCAGACCGCAGCCTCGTCCTGAGGCAGTGGGGGCTGACGCAGACGGCCAGGACACGGCAGTGGATGACGTCACGTACGACGTCCCCAGTCTCAACCCCCGACCTTCCACTATGTACTTCATGCGCATGCCCGACTTGGGATGTGAGGGTCTTTTAGACGAGGTTATGTCCAGTTTCTCCACGGAGACGCTGGAGAGTTTGGGTGTGGACGAACCGCCGAGAAGTCGTCCCACAAGTCAAGCTGTCAAACTAGCGCCTCTAGCTGTAGAGGAAAATGACTCTCCTATTGTCACAAGGACTAGGCAAAGAAACGAGTCAGCTCCTTCGGAGTTACACCTATCTGAACCGGAGAAGACTAAAGTGTCTTCTTCAAAAGCCTTAGACACTAAAGGCAAGAAGAACGCCAACGGTAAAAATGGCAGTCGTGGTAGACTATTAAACGAGGCATCAAGGCAATCTCCGAAAGCGGATACGAAGGATTTGAAGTTACAGGCGAGTAAGAAAGTTACAGGAGTCGGTAAGAGTCACTTAAGTAGTCGGACGAACAGTAAGACGGGTACGGATGTGGCTTCCAGACAGTCTCCTAAACCTCTACTGTATATAAAGGAAGACCAAAGTACCGAGAAGTCCACGAGGCCACATTCGACGGACCGGTCGCAATCAAGAGTCAGGACGAGTAACGGGTCTTCTAAACCGGCCGTAAAACCTGCAGGTAAAGCTGAGAAGAAACCGGCGGCAACGTGTCAGTGTGGGCGGAACGGGACACGACCGGCGGGGAAGGGGTCTCCGTCTGAGACCGCCAAGGCGACGCAGAAGACAAGCCCCAAGGACGAGAAAGAGGAAACGGGTAAAAAGCCGCACAGTAGGAAACGTGATCAGTCGCAGGAGACGGGCGGAGGAAACGCCGTGGTGCTGAGGAAACTTGTGCGGGAGAACAGGGACCGGAGACCGAGGAGCGGCAGCGGAGAGGACGGCCTGGTCAAGTTCATGAAGAGGGCTCTTCCAGATGAGGTAGGTAGAAGCCAGCACTTCGGTAGAATGTACAGCACTTGCGCGAAACCCGTAATATATTGTGCATAGCAATTTGGCAGAACGTCTCGTTTAAGGTCGTATTCACGTATTTAAGTATGCCATCCTATGTAAACTTTAGAAATGTTGTGTTAGAAAAGCATAATATAGGAACACAGCATAATATAGAAACACAGCAGACGCAGTATTTTCTGCTGACGTGCTGTATTAAGCCATATCACAGTTCATGCGCAGCATGGAATTGCGGGATTAATGTAGGAGATTCAGGCCCTTTAGAACTAAACAAGCATACCTCGTAAACAAACACGTCTAAACAACGAATTGTTTACGAATGAGGGACCTTAAAAACTAAAAGTCTTACAGATCACAATACATTGTGCTCAGATGCGTACTCAGAACTGAGAAATGACTTTGTAATTTGTACGAAAGTAATTTTACTATTAGGGTCACCTTGGTTTATGCATAAAGTTTGGCATCATGTAGTAGATGATGCCATTGGAGGATTGATTGATTGATTGATTATTTGATTGTCATTAAAAGGAGACTGACATAACAGAAGAAACCTAACGGTAGAACATAACTAAAAACATATTAACTATTTTTCTGCAGGCCACACCAGAGATGTGCTCCTTCGCACTTCAAGCCACAAACTGTAACGTCGAGCAGGCCAACAAGTTTGTGAAACTCCAGCTGCGCACGCGCCAGGACTACTCCCAGTCAGACCTGCGCGCGCATGCGCTTCGGCGCTTGAAGCAGAACAACTGGGACATCAACAAGACCACGCGGGTGCTTCTGGGAGAAGAGGAGGATAGGCACGCGGTGGGGAAACTCCAATAGGACGTTTTGTTGTTCGTCAGAACTGTCAATCATTTCTGTGCTGACCAATAGTGGCTTTGGGTGGAGCTCTATGGCAACCATTGTGAAAGTGTGATAGTTTGACTTTGTTCAAAACGTCTAGATCTCATTTCAAGTCAATCATGTGATGAATTGTGCATTCCAATGAAAGGTAGTGGTCTTACGATTTCACAAAATCTAAGTTGTCTCTCTCTGGAAATGGCCACTGTCTGTTGTGAACAATTCTAAAAAAAGAGGCGTAATTTATTTTGAACCAATGAAATGGAGTAAAAGTTATTTTGTACTTAAAGAATGGTCGACCAATGGGTGGGAAAGGTAATTACTGATTGGACGTTGAGCTGAGGACGTTGTTTTTGTGTGGTGAGGTTTGAGAGGTCTGATGATCACGTGATTGTCACGTAGGTATCACGTGCCTTTCACGTGGTAATAATGAAATGGAAAGCTTGTACCTAGAGAGTATTTTTCAATGTGTGCTGAGGCGATGTATATATTGTTGGCTTGTACAGATGTTGGGTATGTGCGTATCGACAGCGTGAGGACCTTGTATAAGAGAAGAGAGGACCGGGGAAAGAGCAAATTATATGTGAAGAGTTATGACGTGTTGCGAAATCGTGCCATATGTGTGCTGAAGTTTTGACAGTTTTGAGATTTTGATTTGCCGAAGTCTTCGACGGTTCTTTAATGTTGTTTCTATGCATATTCAGGTTGAGTTGTTCGTTTGTTACATCGAAATTTGTATTTGGTCCCCTCAGTTGTATATTATTTCGCACACCACCGAAGATGATTAAAATGTCATAAAGTATAGACTGTTTTTCAGTTGTAGTTTTTTGTTGATTTCTTTTTCATAACCGGTCAACCTATAAAGCACCACTGTATTTTGGCGTTTTTAGCTATAATTGTGCTGTTACGTTTGCAAAGGATTTTTCACATTTACTAGTATTCCTAATCAGAAAGAGTGAAGCAGAACCAAACTTAAGCTACGGTCACAACCCGCCGTACGTGCTTCTGCGTGCTGTCTACGTGCAAAAACGTGGGCAAACGTAGGGCATCCGTGCGTGGTGAGTACCGCCTCCGTACGGAATCCTACGGATTTGGGAGCACGCAGACACGCCGTAGAACTTTAAGTGCATGTAAAACTTTTTCTACGTGCGGTCCGCGGATTCACCACCCGTGCGTGCGAGTACGAGCGACGCGCGTGCCCCGTACGTGCCGTACGGAAGAAGCACGTGTGAGTACGGCCTCCTTACGGTAATGTTGCAATCGCACAGAGATCGTACGTTGTAAGCACGTACAACTCACCACTTGAGCAACGTACGATGCACGCAACCGCTCACGGCCAGACGTGGCGTGCAGACCACACTCTTACACCCTGTGCAACCGTGCAAGTGACGTGCGTCGATGCCACTCCTTCCCCACGTTTTCAGAAAAAAACGTAGCAGACGTAGCCTCCCAAAAAACGTACGGAGAAAAAGCACGTACGGCGGGTTGTGACCGTAGCTTAAATGAAGAATATTAATTAATTGTCAAAATTGTGCCACATACAAGAAACCCTACTATGCAATAGCTGGAGTCGGAGTAAACCGGAAGCCATCTGAATGAAAATTTCTTGTGTACTCTTGGCAACTCCCAGTACATTCTTCAAAATCCGAGGTGTATTGCAAAAACTCGGATCCATTTCGGTTCTCCCTTGAATTTTATAAGATGTTTCGATCACTGTTGGGACGCTGCAGGAATATTCTGTATGCAGTCGTACTGCAGTTAGAATACATTTTGAACATACCCGGAAACTTTCGAGCATACTCAAAACATTCCGGCCACAAGAATAGGAGTATTTGGAGTGTTGTAAGAATCTCTAGAATACATATCCTGGAATACACAAATTTTATTCTTACATGTATTCCGTCTCTAATGTGAAGGGTGTTGAATGTTGTGTGTATGATATCAAGCTTTGGTCCAGTTCCCAGCCGTCCCAGCCTTACCAACAAGTCTGCCTTTGATCATTCCTGTTCATATGCCAGGTATTTGCATATTCGTAATACATCTTAGCTAGGGTTTTGAATGGCTCCGAATCAGGATACTTTTCTTAACGTAACTTCGTTTTATCATTGTTTTGCATAAAACACCTTGTTTGTAGCAAACTAACTTTGTACAATATAAGTAACGTTATCAGTTATGAAATAAATTTGACAAAGACTTATTTTCAATAGGTGAATATTGATATATTCAGAAAAAATCCCAATGATACATGCCAAACTCAACACAACACAACACAGCAAATATATATCTGATATCAATGGTATTCACCGATATCAACACCGCAAAGAACAGAATCGGTGCATGTTAAACAAATGAGTGCATTATTGAATTCAAATGGATTTGAAACTGATGAAAAAAAAATTGTCACTTTTCTTATCTGTGTAGGTTTTTTTTTTACAAAAGTTCTATCTTCATACAACTATTAAAATAAAATCTTATTTACACAATTAATGAGCATAAGGCATACCCAGCAACTTCAACACACAAATTATTCTTACACACTTTTTAGATCAACATGCCCCAATGCCGTTAACATAAACATTATGCTGTCTTCCTCACAATGCGTTGAGTAACGGCGAGCAGAGGAGAGCTGTGCTACAAGTGAGACAGCTGCAGTGTACATGTAGAGCCCTACACATTGAGCTCCATAAAGTGGTTTGACTAATCACATTGCTTTTAAACTTACTTCATGTACATGTACATCCATCTATTTTTGTATACAATATCTTGTGCCCCATGTCCAGACTTATCAGCAAAACAAAGAATACGGAGAAAGATATTTGATCATAGACTCAGGTTTACAGACTTAGAGCCTGTACATGTATAATGAATTGAGCAGGACATAGTCTAGATGAATTTCATTATTGGTATATACATGGACATTGAATAGGTAATCAGTACTATTAGTTATTACATGTTTTTGAATGAAACTAATGTATATTTTGTTAAGGGTTTGAACCAGGATCTACATGTAGGAAGGCCTTCTCTTTTTCAAGAAGAGTGGTAGGGTCATTAACGCATGTCTCTGTCCTAGAAATGGGCCTGCCTGATGCCACTATATCGTTCATCATTGAAGTGAGTAATTCGAGTAAAATGCCTTTCACAAGGGCAAAAAATTGGTACTTGGTATATATATAATACGGGTTCAAATCTAGAGTCTCTTGATTTTGGGAATAACTTTTTTTAATAATAGAATATTTTCCTTTAATTGTTAATTGCTACTAAGTATAGAGACAATGACAAAAATACTGGGGGATGGAATTTTGCATCCAACCCTTCGACTTTTTCTAATTTAATAACTGATATAACAAGTTGCTATTTACAATGAATCAGGCCTTTAGCCACCGTCACAAGGTCATGACCTTCCGATAAGCAAACCACCTGTTGGAGTCTCTCTATTGTTATCACATTGGCAATCTATTTATTTTGTACCCCACAGGTCTCGCTATGTACACTATTATCACTGGCAATATTTATGATAAGGATTTGCGCCTAGAATGTCTTGATTTTGGGTATGCCAATCTAACCACAAAACAAACCAATAACATAAATTCTGATCCATTCATATCTACAACATATCCATCACATATACATTTGAGTACATACATACATGTATTGACCTTTCTGTGCTGTCCATGCCTTGACCTGTCTTTTTGGTTCACTTGAGTGCACATGCACCAATGTGCACTTGAATAAATCTTAAAACTTAACACTGTTACCACATTTATACAAAGAACATGCATATGAAATTCATGTTGCTATTAATATCTTCATTTAGTTGGTTCCCTCCCAGATTACATGTAGATGTAGGTCTTAGAGATTATACTAATAATATTTCATGAGCACTAGTCATAATAGGGTAATACTAGTGGCAAAATTAAGACGGTTATATTTGAAATGTACAGCTCGGCTACGAGTACTCACATCAATCATTAAACGTAGCAATGGCTACCCAAGTTCTTAGGGAAGAGTTACAAGTACAAAACAGTTGTATGTCAAAACTAGTCAGTGCTGTCCTGTTGTTCATCCTCCCAGAATTTCATAGGAGAAGCTCTGTTTTCTGCATGGTGTTGAGCACTGCAGAAATATGATAATGATATAGTATCATGTAAAATAAAAACATACAGGATTTTGAGAGAACACACCTCTCCCTAGTTAGCATGATTTGCGCTATACCTTCTTAGATCTTCCCCTTTTGTCAACATTGCTGTAGGATCTACTTGTTGAGTTTGTAATATGCAGTTTGCAAACAAGCTGGTAGGGGGCTTCTTACATCGATGTACATGCCTGTACATGTAATTAGATTCAAATCATCTGAAATCGGATCTAATGTGTACACCTACTGAGGAATTTTCAAACATGTTGTACATCTGATTGAGGAAGAGACGAACATAGAAGATAACACAGAAGATAACATTAATGACAAAATACTACTATTCATAAATGAATTTCCCACTTCATGTCACAAAAATTATCAATAGATAAAATCATTCGTTCACATAGCCTTGTCTGACCTTACCTCGAAGTTGACAATCTTGGGAAGAAGTGGGAATCTTGGGTTGCTGAACCATACATTCGTCCGTGAACCAGTAGCTTGTCTGTCCCTTTAGCTTTGGATAACATTTTAGACATTTCGGACGTTTAAATGCTATATCATGACGTAATTACTCTCATTTAGGTACAAAAATTTTAATTATTACTGGTGCAGTATATAGAGCAGTGATTACGCATTGTACTGCAGTGCCACAGCTATGAGTGGTTTTATGAATTTAAACTTTATATATACGATTAGGCAAGTACAATGTATAATATATTACATTAGATAATACAATACCAATAGTACATGGATTTGTTAGATTTACTAATTTCTAGAATAGTTTTAAACTGATGTTTAAAAGCTTCACATTTCTATTGAATGAAATACTGTGCATTGACAAGTGCTAAAGGACATATATTGCATTATATCAGGTACATATGCAGTACGCGTATGAAAGTAGGATTTTAAGCTTAGGGAAAAGGAAGATAGTATAAGACACAATTGAAATTAAGATTACAGATAAAGATAGAAAAAAGGGATCTGTCTTTTACTTCGAATGTACCTGTATTAAAATGGTCATGGCCGTCCCTCCTTTGCTCTGGCAACGCCCTGGAAGACGCCCTGGTTGTAGGACGACGTCTGACAGCTGCTGCCCCAGTGCTCCTTCTACCTGATCTCTCTAAAAGGTGCAAGGATATACACATGAGTATGTACTAATTATGTTTATGAGTATACATACGTATACATCAGAACAACCCCAATTTTTTTTAAATTGTAGTGAACTGTATGCTACTGTAAGGCCGCATAAAGTTATGAAAATGTAATCCTATGGAAATGCACTGAAATCTCGTGAGAGGAAAAAGTTACCCCATTCCAAACAGACCACCATAATTACATGTATTGAAAATTTAAGAAGAATTAACGTTGTCTGCTTCCTTCTAGTCTTGTTTCAAAGATGACATTTCTGTTTCCCCTGTGTACTCTTTCACCTCATCTCAAAGTTTGCATTGGATCTCTGTTTTGGCAAGGTCCCCAAATCTGTCTTTGTGGCCCATCGATGTTGTTAATACAAGAACGCAAAAAAAAGAAGCGGTGCAGATACACACGGTGCAGATACACACAATCACAGAAATTACAATTATAACTTGATATTTAACCCTCAAACCACCGTAGGTTTTTTTGCGACGAATTCGAATCTTACCATATGGGTCAAAACTGACCCCATCATGTTTTGCATGAATATAGATTTTTTGTGACTCTATCTCGTGATTTTTAAGTAAGTATAGTCGAGTAACAGTTTGACATAATTAGGAGTGAATAATTTATGCAGATTATCATACTTAATGCACCTGAAACAAGATGCCTTGTATAGGCAACTAGGTTTAGGGTCACAATTTTTTTTAGTTTTCTGAGTTTTCTGTATGTCATGGTAAGGTAATTCGAATGGCAGCAAAAAACTGAAGCAAACATGTAACCTGAAAGAAAAATTGACAACAAAATACTCACATGTGTTAAAACACCGGTTAAAAATGCTGGGGTCAGTTTTGACACCACTGGACCACCCATGAACTTTCCAATATAACTTAATCAACAATGTTCCAATCTTAGTAAAAACGTGTCAGGAGTTATAAGACATATATACAAACAAACTCTAACTTAGAAGGAATTTCGTTTTCGACAAGAAATGCAAAAATGGCCTGGGGTCAATTTTACCCCCATGCGGTGGCTTGAGGGTTAAAAGAGTGATTCAAGGGTGGGATCGATACCTGTATACATAGGTTAAAACAATTGTGCTGACATCATTTATAGTGTGGACGTAAGCCAATATGTAGTTTGTACACATACCAACAGGGAAGTTGAAAGTTGCGTGGTTTCCGCAGAGGAAAGAATGATTCCCGTTCCCCTCAATTTCTGCCGAGTTCTTAATCCTGCCCTCTGAGATTTTAACCTCCTTCAATTTCTGAAGCACGCTGTCTACTTCCTCTGGACTGGTCAATGGAGTTTGTCCACGACTTGGGGACAGTGATGGTGAGGCTTGTAATTTTCTTCTCAGATCGTGGAGAATACCTTCCACTTTTAGAATTGTCACTTCAAGGTTCAAATGTTCAGCTTCTAGTTCGAGAGATTGTACCAGTTCTTTCCAGTTGCCGTCAGTAGGGGTCTTTTTCAACTTTTCACAAATGGTATGTATGTCATCCCTTATTTCTTGAAGCTTTGAGGGTTGCACACAGCGAGATATGGTATTCTCTAATTTTTCTAATCTCTGGCATAAGGTGTCACAAAAGGTGCGGTCAACATGTGCTTTGTTGTCGTGATTGTCTAATAGCTGTTTGACAAGGGTGTTTGTCTCCCTGGTACTTCTTTCAAGTGCTGCTTGACTTTGCTCTTGTCTGGCCCCTTGCGCCTCGATGTTTTCAAGACGCTTCTCCATTGATGCCTGTCTTACACAGATAGACCGGAGAAACTCGTGCTCTAGATCTGGTGTTGGGCTGTAGTAACCGCTGCTTGAAACAGTGCTGGACCATGTTGGAACAACCGAACCTGGTCGGCTATCATCACAGGTCTCTAAGACCTATAATAAGACATTTATACAGTTATGACAAAAATTCTAAACGTTGACCAACACTGAGTAAATTGGGACTTACCCAAAGTTTCGACCAAGTGGGTAAGTCCCAATTTACTCGGTGTTGGTTAGAACGTTTAGCCATTTTATAATAAAGAAGTCTACCAACACGATGAAATTTCCTGCTAACATTTTATACAGCTGTTTACGCCTGCCCGCACCCCCCTCATTAAAAATGCGTACAAGTAAACACACCCATTCGCAGGAATGCACCCACTCACATATGTGTAATACACTAAAATATAATGTAATGCACTATTGTACGACGAGATTGTGCTAAAAAGAGAGGCTAAAGCAGGCTTGCTGATTTTATTTAGGCAGTCTATCAAGATGTGAAGAAAATTCGACATATGATTTTTATGTTATGATTTTCAGTAGCCTGATATTATATGACACTGTAAAAGTCCAATATTCAAACATTGGATCCTAAATTCCTTGCCTTTAGGCCACTAATATCCCTCTAGAAGATCCACGGCAATGAATGAAACAAAGTGACATACCTCAATATCATCCAAACGTTTAGGGTTCATAACCGTGACGTTGGTTCCATCAGCTATATAGTAAAGTAATAGGAAAAAAAATTAATGTGAGGTATAACTCGCAGAATGCTTATGTTGTTAGGCCTTTTTACTCTCCAAGCAGAGGTTGGGTTTTGGGGATATTTTTAGCGTGCTTCTAGCCTTTTTTTCGGGGTTTCTCTTTTGCACTGAATTTCCCCCACCAAACCCAACCTCTGCCGGCAGTCGCTCTGGAATGTAAGACCTTATATGGTTTGTTTTAACTCAAACCTCTTGCAAAAAGAGGATTACAATGCATTATTTTTGGTCATTATCGTAGTCGTTTGTTTTTACAAGGGGTAATCTTCAAGAATGTACCTCTCATACGTCTTTAAATTCTGTTCTCTCCCGTGAAACATTTTCCAAGGAATTTTAAGGATGACAATTCAAATAATATTGAAATGCCGTATATCGAACAGTTATGTTGCAAGCAGGCACCTCTTTGGTGGCGAAATTAAACATTACCTTACATTAAAAAAAATAACACAAAACAGCCAAAATTTTACCTGAGTTGCTCATGTTGTTATTCCCCAATGGTCTACCACGACCCAATAGCTGCGTTGTATTCGCTTGGTCCCGCTGACGTTGGTCCATTTTTTTGTGATCTATATTTTACGAATACGATATTTAAGAATACCTTATACCTTAAAGTATGCTTGAAGGTTCCTTTTGTTAGTCCACTGTGACATAATAGTTTAAGAAAGCCTGGATTTCCGTTACCAAATAGTAGTCGTCTATTTATAGCTCGTCACTCGAAAAAAAAAACTGTTCGTAATTTCTCTTTCTCTCTTGTGTTTTTATAGAGGGCTATTAATGTATCTATAGCATTGTAGACATTCAGAAGACAAGAGCATTTGATCCATTTACTAGCTAGTGAATGTTTGCTTGGATAGTTGGACAATAGACTGTTGTTGTTAAAAACATTGGCTTCGTTTTTATCGAAAGATTATATGTAAGCTCATGTCGTTACTTGTCCTAAATTTGTACGGTAAATTACCTCAGTGTGACGTACCATTAAAACATTATGGTAATGAAATGAAACTTTGTTGATCATACAATGTCGATGACTGATTTTTTCCTACCAGGAAGTAAGGCAGAAAAAAGGTAAGGTACACTGTACACACTCTTTATCTGAGGCTGTTTCCTTCCATTCAGAGTAGGAAAATCAAAGTAACTAACCTCATTAACTCTTGATTCCCGAAAGATCTGCAATATCTGGAGGAAAGTGGTAGACTAGTAGCGTAGAATAGGAACGGTGGTAGAGATTTTGTAGCGTCTGGGACAGGTCCTACCACCGGTGCTAGTCGGTGACGTTCTTACTTCGGAATGCGTTGGTTATGTTTGCACCATGACAATAAATGATGTTAGCTCAAGTCATGCAATTGGCAAACAATACGTGTAACGGTCCATTGGTTGACAGAATGACCTTGTGACTTTTGAAACTTGTGCTATAGGTCGTTCAAATAAAGGGGGTATGTTTCTGACAACCCGGACTGTATTGCGATGCATAGCTATAGAAATATCATCAACATTTCTGAAATTCCCATGTATACTTAAGTTCTATAAGCTAAGACGGGACGGTTTTTTTTGTTGCTTCCAGTTTGACGAGTTTCCCATTCCCATGATGCATTGTGAATTTGGGTGCTATATCTTATTTACATAGCGCAGGAAGGCATCCTGCTGACGTGAAACAGCTTGTTTTTTCAGTGTGTTTTTAAGATATTTAAAAAGAAAAGATGAGTCTAGAAAGGAGCAACGGTTTAGTTTCCACATGAAGGTAGCTAATAGACAGATGTGCAAAATAAATGCAACTTATGAAAATGATTTACGAACTAAATTCCATAATTAGTAGAAATGGGACCTTTTAAAAATAACATCTGTATCAGTCTAGTCGGCATAACCGCCCTTCGGCGTCACACACCAGCTTCGCAGGCACTCAGCGTGGCGGCAGCTGGCTACATTACACCGAACAACTTGTTACAACTAACCCTTGAACATCTAACTCTAAACATTGTTTGGAGTCAGATGCTACACAACATGTTACCTCTCCATAACTAGGTTCATCAGGTTGGTAAAACTTAGGATATAGGGGATTTTCTTTGACATAATCAGTATTGTCTCTTACCTTGCTGACGTTTTTATGTCTACCAGAAACGATTCCTCAGAGAGGCGAAAAGCAGAACTCCAGTCATAAGCTCTACAAAAAAGGCATCTATTTGACACCGAAACGTAAGCAAGGTGAGACGCTACTGGTTGTGTAAACGAAAACCCCCTATATCCCACGTAATCATTGTAACGCAATGTGATTCATTTTCAGATAAAGCATGTTAAACAGATACAAATTATTCAAATAAGGGTCTAATTTACTGAATCTATTGGATCCTTTAGCCTTAGTAGTTTACAAATAAGACACATAATCTAGTAATCCAACAGCTTTTTTGACAGAATATTTTCTTTAAATTTTTATTCTAAGTGCTCGAATAGTGGCAATGGCAACAACAAATACTGGGGGTTGGAATTTTGTATCTAGTTTTCCGTCTTTCACTTAACAAATGAATGATATAACAAGGTTGCTATCTGCTATACATAATCGGGATTTTAGCCACCGATAAGGAATCCCCTTGTTGGAGTTCCGCTTTTCTTAACACATTGGAAACTAAATTTTTCACCCCCACAGGTCTCGCTATGTACACGTACGATCTTGCCACTGGTGGACTCTATTTACACATAGTGTATTTATTATACTAGTATGTCTAATATTCTCTAAACGTATTTGTTTTTACTTTAACAAGATGTAACTTCCGGTGTGAAGTCATATACATGATCCTGCCAAATACATGACGCCAACACCACTTGGGGGTTTCCAATATACCTGAGACAAAGGATGGGAGGGGTTTAGTCGTCATGTGGGAGACTAAACCTAACCTAACCTAACCTAACCTAACTTAACCTAACCTAACCTAACCTAACCTAACCTAACCTAACCTAACCTAACCTAACCCCAATCGCAAATCTAACCCTAGCCATGATGAACAATGATCCCAACTCTAACCCTAACTCTAACCCAAACCTTAACTCTAGTCAACACTAACCCCTAACCCTAGCCCTAAACACCTGACCTCTCGCGTATGTGGCGATTCAACGATTTGACTTAACGCCGTCGCATTCCGTTTTGTCATGTGAAAATATAATCGTCATTTTTTTTATTCCTAAGACATACATTTTTCACCGCTGTATATTTGTCGTTTTGCCTTAGACACCCTAGATAGGGTAGGTATTTGTCACCTGTGGTTATTGAATTGACCTCATGACCCTTTTCTTTATTGTGGGCCACAACACCAGCCCCTGCTGCCTGTGGCCCACGAGTATTGTACTTGCTTGCAATCCTAATAAATCAAATTTCTAAGTCAACCAGACGTTCAAGGCACAATAGCAAATAGTACCGCGTCCCTACGCCAGGCGTACTTGTCACACTGTAGTTTTCAAGATGGATCCAGCTCACAAAAGAATACTTAGGAGTCACCGGGTAGACATTGTGAATGATTTGAACGTAAATCGCGTCAAAGACACTCTCATTCAGGAGGAAATCTTTGACCCTAGTCAGTGGGAGGACATAGTGACAGCAGGGAAGGGGACAAGGCGTGACAAGGCGTCTGCGCTAATGGATGAACTGCCTAAAAGTGGACCCAGGGCTTTCCAGTGTTTCTGTGATTCACTGATGACTGGGAGATATGAACACCTGGCAAAGCCGCTCATAGAAGAAGGTTAGTGGCAAGTATATATATATGGACAATGTAACCAGGTTTGCGATGGTGGAAGACAAATCAAATACTTACAGTAAGAGCTCTCTTAGTCTGCGTAGTATTTTTTTGGGTACCGTTTTCCAATTGTAACCGTCATGGGCAAGACAGTTAGGCTTCTTTTTCAGGATTTGTGTTTGTTCTACGTCTAGCTTTTAATGACTATATCACAAGAAAGTTGCTTGTTTGTTCTTGTTTTGCCATTGTCGTCACCGTCACGGTACTATTCTATTTGCCCCAGGCTATTCTGAGCCAGAGTCCTTTTGTTGCATGCATCCAGTGAATGCGACGAAGCGTAAATTTGCACTGAAGGTGTTTACTTGATTGTGCACTTCAACAACAGGGATAATCTTTGTGGGAACCAAACACAATGTAACCTACACGCATGATTGCTTAGCCAAATGTACCACTTTGAAATTCTAGACGGTTTTGTGGATCCCTGAATTCGACCCTTTCTACAAGTCTACGAATCTTAACAGAGATAGAGCTGACAGCGCCATGTCTAAACCATTTACGCCCAGCTCGCCAAAGTCAAAATGTGTATCCTTGCGTCATATCGTCGACGTACGAGCTTCGGCCGTATTTGTCGATCGCCAAAGGTCGGCCGATTTTGATATCGACCGAGTGTTGCGCGTAGTTTCGGCCGCGTGAAAATCGTTACATTGAGATAGGCTCGGGCGTTCACTTGGGGTAACAACTATGATAATAAAGCCCCTATGACATGGCACTCGGACGAAGTGAGGCTAGTCTGTCCACCTAAAAAGGGAATAGTTTGACCAACTTCTATGTTTTACCCTTCGCAATATTTTAGCAAAGTAATGAAGCCTATCTACACTACACGAAAAGTTGAATTTACCAAGGGTTGTGAATTCAGGTAATGTTGCCTTTGTACACAGTATCTGGCTTTACAATGGTAATAAAAAAAGGTCAATTGCAGCAATTTCCTTAACAACCCTTAAAAGTCCAGTATTATCGTACTTCACTTTTATTTACTGCAATTGTAAAGTTCAGAAGTGTTTATTAACTCTACGGGCCCAGTAAATCTAAGTTTCCGTGCAGTGCTACTGAATTATAGAATTTCCTAATTAATTATGCAAATTAAGTCTTCATTTTGAATTATAGAATTTCCTAATTATTTATGCAAATTAAGTCCTCATTTCCTTAATTTGGATTTAATTACGTACAACTCTCTCTCAGCTACCTACACACCAAAAATGATGAAAATACGTTGTTTCTAGTATCTGGACGTATTGGCTTTTAAAGATTTCGCCAGAAAGTGCCCTGCAGTTCCAGAACAAGCTGCTAGGGGGACCAAACTCACACCACTTTTTTCTGACAGAAAAATCTATCTGTCACCAAAAAGTCAAGACCATAGCATGTTCAGGACAAAAGATACAAAAGTTCTGCTGCAGTACCAAGGTCATCCACCAGGAGGCCCATATTTGACCTTGACCTTTGTCTTCCTAAGGTTTACCAACATACCAAATATCATTACAATCCATAAAAGCGTTATGAAGTTATGCTGACTACAAATGTGCGGAAACACAAAACACACAGACAGACAGACAGACAGACAAACACACACACACACACACACACACAGACACGCCAAAAACAATACCTCCATTTTTCATGGAGGTAATAAAAAGGAATTCTGTTATAGACACAACTCAAATGCTACCAAAAGAGCCAGAAATTCACACTACCTTCTCGTAAGCATATGGGGGGTCCTCACATTCTAAATCGGCAGAGTAGTCGACATTTACGCAGTAGTCCGCCCATACGAGCATCACGCGAATTTTCGGGATCGCCGGTTTTTGTTTTTTGTTTTCAGTCCACCGAAGCTCATCGATCAGTGACACGCGAAACGTGTTCTTAAGATTAGCGACTAGTCGCCGGCGATTTTTGAGGTCACAGAGACCGTTTCCAGGTATCCCGTTGCTCGCCTGAAGCTTGCCCCTGTGCGGCCGAGAGTCGACCGATACACAGTTGGGCCGTACATCCCACGAGTCTCGGCCGTTCTTAGTCTTCAAAAAGCGGACGATGGACACTGAATACGGTCGATACTCTCTCGTACCTCGCCCCACTTGTGCAGTTTAGGCCACACCAAGTAAATTTTATGGATGACGTCGACGTCCTTTGGATACCCTAAATCTAATGCGAGAGGGCGAAAAAAAACAAGAAGGGCCCTAAAAAACAAGATGCCTAGATTAGAAATATAGTCCTGTCTGTTAATAGTTCCAAAAATGGCACTGTTTTGGAACTATTGACAGGATTTTTTTCAGTGCCATTTTGTTTTTTGTTTTTTCATTTTTGTTTTCAATTTTTTTAACCAGGCACAGGCTTTCGGCGTTACGGGTTTCACGATCTGACGATTTGCGGCACTGTCGTGACTCTTTAGTCATAGTTACAGGAAGCGGAATTCCTTG